AGTTCTTCTGGGTAACCAATAACAGTAGAAATTGCTTGTATTGTTTTGGGAACCTTAGGGGGCATCCCTAGTCAACAATTCTTAGGAAAGTAGTCCTTGACAATGGGATTTCCATTTAATAACCAATTGCTTATGCAAGCAGCTTTATATCTTAATAATTATTAGAAGGCTCTGTTTAAGTCACTACGCTTTCTGTCTCCTGATTGGCCTCAGAATGAAATGCCACTGTTTGCCCCAGTGCCCAGTAGTTTTCCATGTGCTCCTTCCCTCTGCAGTTAGCCCTGAGTAACTGATCTCCATTTACTCAAATATCAAAGCATGGATGGAGACAGAAGATCAACACTGGAATACACCTGCTCTGGCTCCAAATTACCACAGCAGCAGTTTGGATATTAATGCTATTTCTGAGAACTGTCTGGAAACCTGCTGGGGACAAATCTACATGGTTTGGTCATTTAAAGAACTGGAGAATTACTCCAGTCTGCTTCACAAAGGCTTTGAGTCACATCAATTTATTTCCTCTAGCATTATGGGGGAAAAGGGAGGGGTGTTTGTAGTTCAGTCTCTAGTAGGAAGAAATATAAACACCACAGGGACTGATGTGGCCAAATATGTTAATTTTGCCTGTGCTCAATAAGAGTAGAAAAGATGAATTCCAGGTGGCTGCACTAAAATTCAAAGGCAATGGCTTCCACAATGTGAAATAAGTAAGTATACTATTGAACCTATTTTTATCCTAGGAACTGTCATGAAATAAATAAATAAATAAATAAATAAATAAATAAATAAATAAATGGTAAAATAAGCATCCCCATGAAGGAAATGAAGTCCAAAGTTAGTAAAGTGTTAAAACAAATCACCACCAACAAAATCCTCACACTCTTCATTTTCTGGTCCCATCTCTGCTTTATTTCATAGCCTATGTGTGACTTGGAAGAAGATGTTCTCATTACAGCAGCACTTAACAGAAAAATAGGAGGGAGAGCCAGCCTGCTGCTAGGATCTTAAGATTCTTTCCGACTGAACTCAGTCAAACTAAACCTATATGTGCCAGGATCTTCTCCCCCTATGCCCCCTTTTTGGAGGTTGCCCATTAGACAAACAGGTGAGAAATTTGGGTGGTGGATGGGAAACATCAGCTGTTACCTGGCGATCATTAGTGGTCAGAGGTAGGACTCTCCTGAATTACTTTTTGGAGTTTGTCCTCACTTTTGTATGCCCTGTATCCAGCTCTCCTTCACAGCTGTCAGCCCCGCTGAACAGCAGTGGGCCCAGTTCTGACATCCGAAGCTTCATTGCAGACTCACAAGCATTGCCATGAAGAGCCAGCAGCCTCCCATGGGCTCCACACTGGGCCCCTTCGCAGGGGAAATCCAGCAGACTCTAGCTCAGGCTCATGCCTGTTTACAGATGCTCTGAATCATAACCCACAGCAGGCAAGGTTGGTGAAAGATTTTTGATCTGACCATTTCTGGACTTTCTATTTGCAACTCCCACCCAACTGTGCATGTCTAAATTCCATAGTAAAGTCCTTACCACATACACCAATAGTCCTCACTGAACTGCAATTCTCAAAAGTTCAAAACCCAAACAGGCTCAAATGAATTACAGTTAACGTTGATATGTAGACATAGCATCTTCATATCTGTACTTAGGCTAAGAAAACTATAACACTAAAGAACACAGAAATAGAAATCAAAGCGATTACTGTAAATATTCCTAAAAGTATAGAAAACACCTCAAGCTAAGTCCTGACATAGTTAGTTACATAAATAAACGATAATGAGATGCAATTTTTAAGAACCATTATATTCCACATTGTGGAAGTAAATATAGCATCTAGAATAGCCTATAAAATTCTAGCATTTTAAAAAATCTCTTCTCTCTCTGTGTATGTGTATGCATCTGAGAATGTGTGCATGAGTTCTAACACAAAGAAAAAATAATTTAAAAATTTATTGATGTTCCCCTCTTCAAAGTATATATTTTTTTCTTTCTAAAAGTGAATAGATGGGAAAAGGTAAACTACATAAATTGGAAGAATCTCTGAAATAGAAGAAAGTTGGAGGGTCATTACTATGTAATTTCAAAAATCAATATAATTAGATGACTATAATAGAAATTGACCATGGAGACATGGCTAACTGATTTTTACCAAAGATGCAAAGCCAGTGAAGAAAGGATAACCTTCAGCCAGTGAGGCCAGGACAACTGGTTATCCATGGGTGGTAATATAAGCAGCAGTGGACAGAGGAAAGTGGTTGGGGTCTATCCCTCCCTCATACAGAACCAAACTGAATCATCTACATGATCATAAAACCTAAAACTAACACACCTCCAGATGAAAACACAATGTATTTGAGTCAGGAAAAGATTTTATGGTAAATTTGACTTCCATCAAAACTTGAAACTTTAATAAGACATAGTAGTGTCTTATTAATCCCAGTGCTTGACAGTCCAAGGCAGGAGGATTAGCAAATTGGAGACCAGCTTGATCTACATAATGAGACCCTGTCAAATAAATAAGTAAAAAATAAAAGACAACAACAACAACAACAAACCAACATATTTTTGAGACAGGGTTTCTCTGTGTATCCCTGGCTGTCCTAGAACCTACTCTATAGACCAGGCTGGCTTCAAACTCAGACATCTACCTATTATAAACATGAAAAGGACCTCTATACAGAAGTCTCTCAAAATTCAATAGTGTAGTGTGGGGGTTGGCACATAATGGAGTGGGATGAGGAAGGACTAGAGAAGGGCACAGGTTACTCTGGGGAATGACAACACTGTCTACTGTCTTGGCTAATGTCATTTTACCTCAATAAAACTGTTTAAAAACTGTTTAAAAGTAAACAGCTTGTTTGGAGTATATGAAATGGGAAAGTCCTTCCAACCAAAAATAGACAAAACTAAAATTCACAAACAAGCCAGACATGTTTGTGCATGCCTTCCTTTAATCTAAGTACTTGGGAGGCAGAGGCAGGTGGACCTCTGTGAGTTCTCAAGGCCAGCCTGGTTTAGATGGTGAGTTTCAGGACAGTCAGGGCTGTAAAGAACAGAGATACTGTCTAAAAAAAAAAAACAAAAAAAAAAAAAACAAAAAAACAAAAACAAAAACAAAAAACAAAAAACCACCACCACCACCAACAACAACAACAAAAAACAAAAACAAAAACAAAAAACAAAACAAAACAAAACAAAAAAAAAAAAACCACGAACAGCATCTGCAAAAGGTCACTTTATTTTATGTATATGGTGCAAAAACAAACAAACAAATAAAACACACAAAAACCCTTTTCCTGAGGGCTGAAAAGATGACTCAAGTTTAAAGTACTTGCTGTTCTTCTGCAGGACTGAGGACCCAAGATTGCAGCATCTATATCAGACAATGTTACTTTAGCTTCCAGTGATCTGGTGCCCTCTTCTGGCCTCTACAGGCACCCACACTCATGTGGCAAGTACACACAGACAGAGATGCCACACATTCACATATTTTTTTTTTCCTTTTATAAAATGCACACTGTAACAGTGGTTTGTCTATTTTTGGTCTTGAAGCCCAATGCGATCTATTTCTTAAAACCTTTTCTCATAAATCAAGTAGAAAGTAATTGTTCCCTCTTGTGAATTACCATAACTTATGCTAATTTTCATAGAGTAATTTAATGCACTTATCCAACTACCTATTTACTAAGTGCCTCATATGGGCCAGGCATAGGCTTGACACAACATATATAAAGGTGAACTGGGCATAGCTCCTCCCTTAAATAGTCTTACAGTCTAATAGTAGGGTGATGAATTAATCAATTAGTTAACAAGCTAACAAACAAGTCGCAATAGCACACTAAAACAACTATTTCAAGAACCCTTATCCACTTCATCACCAAATGCATGGAATAATTTGAGAGCTGGAAAAGGTTAAAAAGTCTAACTCTAGGTCTCCAAACTCCCTGAAGGATGACTCCTTTCCCAGTGGAGAAACAGGAAGAAGGGATGAGGTAGATCTGCAGAATTCAGGACAGCAGAATGATGCCTACAAGGCAAGGTCACACCATGGTTTCAGGGACAGCCCTGGTTTTGTGTGTTATTGCTACTGGTTTTCTTTTCCCTAGAGAAAACAGATGGGTGGCAGCCAGTGGACTTCTATGGGAGTTATACAAATCTAATTGTGAAAGCAACTTCTAAGTGTGTCAAGTCACTTTGCTACCATAAGCCAGATGGCATGTGGCATTAACATTTTCCTTCTCACAGTTGCAGAGGTGGGGTAGGGTAGTTCAAGATCAAGGGACTGGCAGGCTCAGTATCTGATGAAGATCTACTTTCTGGTCCAGAGATGGTACCTAAGATCCCTGTTCTTGTGTGGTGATAGGAGGAAGTTAATAGCTCTCTGAGACCTCTCTCAACAGAGTACTGACCCCAAACATCTACCTTCATAATTACTTCCAAATATGCCCCCCCATCCTCATGCTATCACTTAGGGCAACATATCCCTAGATAAATTTTGGAGGATCCTAAGCATTCGCATTACACATTGCACTGGAGGTTTCCTGGGGACATTTTACTTCTTCATATGATCAAACCTCTTCTCTATGTTCAAACTCTGAGGAGGAAGAAAAGTGGAAGAGACAACAATGGGGCAATTGGAAATATGGGGGATCAGATAACTCAGTTATCTCACTTCCCATGATCAATATCTATGTAATTATGGAATTCCAAGTAGCACAAAAATCAGCACAAATTGACAAGGTCTCCAATTACAATGTGGCCATTTAAATTGAATAGCAAGGAGAAAGCCTTCAAACCTCCCCCAGGGCAATTCATTACCAGAAAAACTTTTAATCTTAAAGATATTTACATCTACAGAAGTATCAGGTCTCTGAGGGGAAAGGCATTAGTGCTTTGTTTAAATTGGTCTGCACCCACCAGCATGAGATGGCTCCAGGAGATGGCAAGGGTCCCTGGGGCTCAGCATCCTCCTGAGTGCTGGGCTGGGCTCTTACCTGTAGATAGGGTCCTGCATCACCAGCATCTTGCTCTCATCCCACGTCCACTCCTTTTTCTGCAATAAAAGAAGCTGTAAATGAATAAGTTAGGCTTGTCCTCGGGACAGAACCAGGGCACACATTGTGCTACTAATGCATATGCAAATACATGCATTTTGCTCCTGGCCTTTTCCCTCTAAGAGGCTCAGATTTGATTGCTTCAAATGGACAAGTGGAAAATGTCATATGTCTGGTCTGATCAGTTTTCTCTAAGCACTTTAGGAAAGTGTCTCTCTAGGCACAAAGGATGGGAAGGAGCCAAGATGGCCTCCTGGGAGCACAGGCACACTCTAAATTTCCTTAGTGAAAGTAAGGGCGGATGGGGGATGGGGGAGTTATATATCAATCAATCCAGGGGAGTGGAAAGGAGGGATAAAAAATAGAGAAGGGGGCAAAGATAAACCTTCAAAATATGTGGAAGATGCTGTCCAGCCCAAGTGAAATACAGTTCCAGGCTCCTCTGGGAGGGGATGAGGACTGCATCTATAAGTTGACTAGTGCAATTGCAGTTACTCATAAAAGAATATTCATTCTGGCTGTGATCAGTTTACTATGACCACAGAAGAGACTGCAGAAGCAGCTACAGATGAGGATCATAATAGGGACGAAGAAGTGCCTGAAGAGGTGAGCAGCACCTGGATGTGAGGAGGGAAAGCACCCGAGGTCAGCAACCAACCACTGCCCCTCAGCCTGACTCTCCCTGTGCAGGGATGGAGAGAATCCTGCACCACCTCTCCTGGGCTTTGTGACAGATACATAGTGTTGTCAAGGGAAACTGGGGGAGATTGCATTCATCTGTGAAAAAAAAAAAAAGACTCAAGAGAGCAGGGAAACATTTCGTTAATGAATGAGGTCTTTTAGTGGGGTGGGGTTTTAAATAGAAGGCACAGGATGGCTGGCCACTCTCAAAACATGGAGGTTTGGAAGCACTCCAAGAGATTACAGAAGACCATGTTCAGGCCTATTCAAGCCTAGAGAGTAACATCAGAGGAAGCAAGCAGCTTTACTCAGAGAAACACACACATACACACACACACACACATATAGGCATGCACGTGCGCGCGCGCACACACACACACACACACACCATCACCACCACCACCACCACCACCACCACCACCACCACCACCACCACCACCACCACCACCACCACCCCTTTTTCCTTTAAATATTTTGCTTGAGAATTTCATACATGCATGCAATGAATTTTGATCAAGTCTACCCCCTTCCATCCTTTCGCTTCCTTCCCTTATCTACCACTTCTCTATCCCAACATCATGTGCTCTTTTATTTATATCCATGGTGTCCATTCAGTGCTGTGCACAGGCATAAGACCATCCATGGGAGCATGAAACTAACTGACTTTCCCCTTTCCTGGAAGCCATCATCTGCCAACAGCTCCTCAGCCAAGGCTGGAACTTCATGAGTCCCTACCCCATCCCTGTTGGAACTTGGCTGGCTTGATCTTGTACAAATAGTGCCAGATATTGACATACACGCTCCTAATCCTTGATGATGTAACATCAATCCAACACTGGAAGTACATTCAGATTGATTTACAAGCATTCAATGTCAATCAATGTAAACAACTTTACAGATGACAAAATTTCAGTTATCACTAAACTGTAACTATTATTTAAAGAGTCTTTTTCATAATGGCTATTCACCTCCCTCCAATGTCCTAAATGGCCTATTTAGAATCACACAGAATGGGGAGACAAATTAATTCTCCAAGAACCCCTTCAGAAAGATAAACAGAGAAGGTTTGGAACTTCTTTACTAAATAGTCTTGGGGTTTAAAACAGCCCTTACTGGACACATTCCCCAAACTTTTGGTACCATAGTTGACACCTGTTCATGAAGCCCTGACTCTGCGTCACCTGTGGTCTGATCAGCATGGTAGAAAAACATTCCTTTCTGTGTTTTGGTAAGGACATTACCCTGAACCCATCGGGCTCACCACATTTATTAGTTACCTCATAACTCCAATAATTCCAATGGCATTCATTGGAGCTATTTTCACCTGACAAACATATTTTCAAGCTCTAAAGTCCAAATACTTGGATGCCAATTTCCAACATACAAATGTTTACTATAAGCACTGTTTAAATATCCATATATATGTAAAGTGTGGTTTGATTTGGGTGTGATTTTTTTTTAATAATATGAACATTAAATTAAGCCACATCTGTAGTCACAATCTATTCTGGCTACATTTTCAACTCAGTCAGTAATATTTATAAAGCCCCTCTGGTGAGCTCGTCTCAACTGTCATTTTTTTTTTCTTGTTCTAAGATTTCTATTTGGTTCATACTCATTTCTGTTTCTACTCTCTGATTTTTGTATTTGTTCAAAGACAGGAGCTAGACTTGGTGACACTTAAAGAAAGTGAGGCCAGAGATCATTGGCCCCGGCAGGCAGTTAAAGACCAGCCTGGGTAATATACTAAGGCATGCTCTCAAACGAAAATAAAAACAAGGGTATGTCTGGCTGCTCTAAAAGCATTTTATGACAACCTCCTTCAAGTCTTTGCCAGTTGCCTTTATCAGGTATGGCATCCTGAGGGAGCACCCTGGGGGAGCATCCTGGGTAGGGGAGACATACTACCTTTTGTCTTCCTCTCAAAGTGAGGTTTTACTCTGTCTCATTTTTACAACAGCCATTTTAACTGTGTGGTCCACTGAGAATTACAGCCTTCTGGTCTGGTTAATTTCATTGTATGACTTTTTTTATTGGCAGGGTTTTTATAATAAAGTTTATTTATCTCTGAAGTGAGTTTTTTTTTTTTTTCTTATTCCTTCTCTGGCAAATTACTTTCACTTGAAACCCAGGACATTGAGACTATCAGATCTGAGATTTTCATCTAAATCTTAATATCATCCCACAACAATGCCCTAACAGGGGAAAGAGAAAGACACCACCTTGTCCATGTTGGCTTTCTCACTGGCCTCTGCAAACCCAGGTCCCCACCTGGCTGACATGGGCAAGAATGCCTTGTGCCTGCTTTCCAAGTGTCCCCCACCCATTCTTGCATGCAGCCTATTACTGCTGGGCAGTGGTGGGAGTCCTGGCCTCCACAGGCCTCCATCGATATCACACAGGGAATACGGTGAGGAAACACTCATTACCAGATGGCTGGGATGGAAGGCTTTCCGCCTTTTCTTATGGGGCAGGGTACCTGATTCTAACCCAGCAGTAGGGGAAGTCAGGATTCTACTTAACCAAGTCAGCCTCAGTGATAGGGGTTTAGAGAACAGTTCTATTTGCTAAACATTTGCCTGGGAGAGTAGTTATGGCCAAGGTGACCTCTTCCTTCTCTTTTGGCTGGAGAGCAGGCTCCCATGTGCTCCCATGGGATTCTTCAACTTTGAGTCTTGGATAGATAAGGCATAAGGAAGCCTCAGTCCACAATCATTTAGTTTCTGGTACCCAGGGTCTGAGCCCCAGTAATGGCAGATGGTTTCTATGACCCACGGCATATATCTCTACTCAAAGTGGCTGTGATGCTGAGACTGAATCAGGGGCTAGATTAGGTTTCTTTCCTGCCCAGCAATGCTCCTCTAATGTCAAGGTTAACCTGGGAGGACTCATCTTTGCAACTCTAAAGAATCCAGCTGAGTTCATAAAAAAGGAAGGAATAGAGAGGCAAAACAATGCCAAGCAACTATTTTCCTTTTTTGGCATTCCTGGACAGGAAGATGGCAAGGCCGAGCTCCAGGCATCTTGTGTGAATTTCACGGGAGTCAACCAACACTGGCAGACTTTATTGAAGTCAGAAATTAATTTTAGGAGCTATCCCTGTAACCTCAGAGCATATCCTTAGAAGGAAGGAAAACCCTCAACAATATGCCCACCAAATTATTGTATTTTTCTGAAAAATCCCATTTAAATCCTCTCTTCATTAAAAACCTTGCAGTAAGCCTTGGGTTAATCCAATAAGTCTATGAAGAGAGCAAGAAATGATCAAGGTTTTTTGCTGGTTTGTTTGTTTTGTTTTCTAGCATCACAGGCATGGGACCCAGTTGTAGACCCCAGCTTAACTGAAGAACTGTTAGATTCTTCTTAGTCCGAAATGACTTCTCATCTCTTATTTCAAAACTGTTTTAAAGATAACACAAACAAGCCATTCCCTTCTCAATTTTCCAGATGGAAACACCTTTTTCATTGAAAAATAGCAAAGTAATAATAAGAATAAAAATAAGAAGGAAGACTAATAACTGAGCTTTACAAGATTATAAATTAAGGTTAGTTTCAAGCTTAGGCTAGGAGGTATAACTCTGAACAGTCACTATAGCCAAACTGGTCCAACCATCTTCAGTAAGCCCACATAACACCAAACTGTACCCAAAGCCAGCCTCTCCCTCCTCCCTCCCTTTCTCCTTACATAAATGCTTGAAAATAGGCCTCCAATTCTTGGTAGCTGTGAGGACATTTTTAGTTTGGCTACTCTCCATCCGCTCAGCTGTAGTCTCTGAGACAGGCAGGAAACGAAGACATTCCCAGTCTAGAAGGAGTGGAAGAGTAGAGGAGGGGCACAGGCCTCTAACCCTCCAGCAGTACCCTTCTGGGTGCCATCTGGGGACAGGGAGTCCTTCACAGTAAGGGAAGAGCAGCCTCCTTCCACCCCAGACATGTCTCACATGGCCCCTCTGGGAGTGCAAGCATTGATAGCAGAAAAGGTTGGTGGGCAAGGCTGATTAGCAAAGTCCCTAGCAAGGTAACACTCAGCTCTGCAAATATGATGGGATGGAGGCAAGCAAGGAGTGTGGAGCTGGGAGCTGATGGAGCATACACATACTTAGCCTCCAGCCACACCCCACTCTGTGGTCCTAGTTATAAGACTCCTGCACCTTTGATTTCTTGTCCCCTGCTTGCCTCCAGGGCCCTACTGAGTCTTTTATGGATGCCCTGAGCCCAAGTTTATTAGCCTGACCACCTCTTTAACCATCTCACCCCATTTTATTTTATAAATCCCTCATTATAGAGTATTTTTTTAAATGCTTACTCTATTTATTTAATTATTTTGACTCAG